AAAGGCGTTAATGGAGTGTCTTGGAAGAGATTTTAACGAGGACTTTTTAGGTCAGTGTTTCGTTTCTTTTGCATGTGATGGGGCTTCAGTCATGCTAGGGAAGAGAACAGGCGTTGCTAGTTGTGTAGTAAATTCCCAAGCCTGTTTGTGTGGCACTGCTCCAATCATCGTCTAGAGCTGGCAGTTGGGGATGTGGTTAAGGAGGTCTCAGGGCTCAATCATTTCCAGATCTTTTTTGACAAACTCTATTCCTTGTTCCATGCCTCCCCCAAAAATCAGAGGCAGTTAGCGCAGTGTGCGCAAGCAGTCGGACAGCGTCTCCTGGTGATAGGGCGTGTTTTGTCCATCCGCTGGGTGGCTTCAAGTGAAAGGAGCGTCAGAGCAGTCTGGGAAAACTACCGAGTGCTTCATGATCACTTCACAAATGCTGCAAATGACACGAGCAGGGATTCCAGAGACAGAGCAAAGTACAAGGGCCTGGATGATGTGCTCACATCTGCAACGTTTGTCAGCAATCTGGGACTGATGTACGATGCGCTCACAGAGCTCAGCGACCTCTCTCGGCAACTCCAAAAAAGAGAGATGACACTGCCTACAGCAGATAGGCTCTTAACTCGAGAAATACGAGTTTTTGAATCCATGGTCACCATGCCTGGACCACACATGACTACAGTTCATACAGCTCTAGCTGAGAAGTCCTTCAAGGGTGTTGCCCTGCGTGAGAATGGCAGGCTTGTACAGATTCATGCAGGTCAGTTTTTCCGCAGTATGGTAGAGAATCTGAGACACAGAATGACTTCCACAACCTCCTCTCATGTCAGCACAAGAGAAATCCCATTACATGGCCGGGAGGCCCGGGACAATCAGCTAATCCAGGACATGAAAGTTATCCATCCTGGAAGTTGGCCTGAAGAGGAGTTAGACGTACAGTATGTGGACGTAGAGGTGCTACGTTTGTGCGAAGTGCTGAATGTGGACAGAAGAGAGACTGTTCAGGGCTTTCGCGAATACAAGGAAACCAGGGCATCCCGTACACCTGCTGCCATGGAGCCTCTACTGAAAGCAGTCCGAACCATCGCTGTCTCCACTAGTGAGTGTGAGCGGGCATTCAGCTGCATGAACGATATCCTTACTGCAAAAAGGAATGCTCTCTCTGTCAGCCGACTGTCCAGCCTGGTTTTCATTAAATGTAATGGACCATCACTAGGACAGTTCAATCCGGAACAGTATGTGAGGTCCTGGCTGGCAAAGGGAAGGAGAAGTGCTGATGAAAGAGCCTGTCCAGCTCCAGCCCCTGATACTGATGTCCCCAAGGCCTTCTGGAGCCTTTTCTAACAATGTGAAGTATATTGCAAAGCAGCTCACCCAGTGAGAAGACTTTTGGCATAATGTGCCGATTTGTACAGATCCTGGAGATAGAAGGACTTCAGACCAACCAGGGAGTTATCTGATCAGCTTGGTGTTCAATGTAACTCTTTACCATGGCTCAGACTTTGTTACTTGCAGTTACAGTTTCTCATTTTAGATTGTGCAAATTTTGCATTTGTTTTTACATGTTCTTTGTTCATGCTCTTTATCATTTTTCTGAGTTGGAAAGTTAGATTGCATCATAGTTTACTTTATACATATTTGTATTCTTCAGTGGTGAAGTATATTGCAAAGCAGCTCAGCCATGTGAGAAGACTTTTGGCACTTTTTCGTTTTTCGTTTTCTGAGTTGGAAAGTTAGATTGCATTCAAAATGTACAGAAATACTTAATTTCGTTAAAGCTTTTTATAAAAAATGCTTCTGACCAGAGCTTTGTTTCCTTGTCATTAATGTTGAACACCACCAGAGGGGCTCTCACCTGAAAGGTCTCTGCTTCATGTGTCTTCAGCAGAAGATCTAGACTTTGATTGCTATATTTTCAGTTAATATTGACCTTACTGGGCTTTAGCCATATCCGCTGCCTATCATAAAAAATGTTAAGTACAGTGAACCTTTCTAAAATATACAGTAGTAAAGAGACAAACCCACCAGCATTATAGTAGCCAAATTCTTGTTTGTGGGCTGTATATATAAAATTGACTTGAAAAAGTTGCTGATTTTAGAGTACTGGCACCTTTTTCATTCCAATTCAAGCACTGCTTTTGATCAGATTGACAGCTACGGTGAGACGATCTCCCGTAAAAGCTCCGTAAAGGTACGTGTTGTGATGTCTGTGTTTGCTTCCCCTGTTGCGAGATCGGATCGCTTAGATACTATACTTAAATAATCTGTGGGGTCACAGCTTTAATCGGATATATTGTGCAGTTTCGATAAGTAATAAGTAGTGGTGCACGATAATTATCGGCCGGATAATTATCGGTCCGATATTAGGAATTATGACGTCATCCCGATAAATCTGATAACAGTATTAATAGCCCCGATAATATACAATATATTTTTTGGGTAAAAAAAAAGAAAAAAATACTGCGGTGTGGGTGGATTGGGATGAGGGGCGCTTGTTTTTCACTCGGCTCCTCCCGTTTTGCCAGTACTGTGGTATTAGTGGTTTAGGAAGAGGGGAGTTTTTCACAAATCCAGCGCTCCCTAACTCATGTCTGGCTGTGACGTAAATGGTGTGCGGCCGTGAAGCCAGGACAGTAAACAAACATGTCGTCGGTAGTATGGGACTATTTCAAAGTTTCAGAGTTAGATAGTTCGCTTGCTATTTGTATTAACAAATGCAATGCAGAAGTTCCACGAGGAGGGAAAAAGGCAACAAGCTATAATACTTCCAACCTGATTAGTCACCTGAAACATCGCCATCGCTACGATGGTGTGTTAAAAGCGTACGAAGACGCCTGCGCTGCTAAACTAGTGGCGAATCCAAAGCCAGCTGCAAAGGCACCGGGGCTTTTACCTATCGACGAGGCTTTTGAAAAAGGCAAGAACTTTATTTGGGAAAATAAATATGGTCACTTTGAAGAGTCAAAACTGTTCTTGGCTTTGTTTTGTTCATAGTAGTAATGCTCATATCATTTGCTCACTACTAGTCTTTTTTTTACCACCAGGTGTGCAAAAACTACAGGTACATTTAATATATATATATATTATATTATTATCTATTATCGGTATCGGTCTTGAGAAGCAGGAAGTTATCGGTATGTGTATCAAAAAACCAATATGTTTCCTGATTTGAGAGTTCTGTCGCGGGAATTATTTTCGTACAGAGAGATACAGCCTGCTCTCCGTCCAACAGCCCTGCGTCTGTCAAAATACAAATGAGCTGAGATGGGGTTGGAGTTTTACCTTGTCTTTTAATCCAATCATAAATTATGGATTTTGCAATGTCTGGAACATTCTCACCGTGTCTTTCCCTGAATCTGGACATGTTTTCTGATCTCACATCAAAAGCAGCCTCTAGGCTAAGCAAATGAAAACTTTTTGCACATTGAGCAACTTTATCAATAAGCGCCTTGAGCTCAATGGAGCCTCGCTCGCTGCCAACAGATTTTGCATTTTTCCTTTCTTCATAACCCCGCTTTTCTGCCAAAGTCATCCAGGCTTTCACACATTCTGTCATGTATCCTTGATCCCATGAACAATTTGAATTATCTTCCACCAGTTTAAATGCTTGCCACAACACGGCCATATCAAAACTACCTGTCAGAGGCCAATCAAATCGAATCAATCCTTTCTGATTAATCTGTTGTGAGTGTTCGCAAAGTAACGATGTAAACGGCATAACTTTAGACCAATCCAAAGTTCTTCCGACAATTCCAGACGGCATGTTTGGAGAAAACAAATGCGTGTAGTGGTTTTCTGCAATCGGGTTTTTTTTAAGTGTCTTTGTGCGTGAAATGGTTTTCCTCTTACCAACTGAATCGTTTGTGGAGGCAGTATTACCCATGTTTAACGGTTAGTACAATAAAACAAACACTGCAATTAGACAAACAAACATGTACTCGCAACAAAATGAGTGCCCTGGCCAAAAAATCATCCAGTTTAATTTAGTCCGAGAATTACGGAAACGTCAACGGGAGCACTGAAATATCTGTTTAATATGGGCTCTTCTCAGCCATATTCAATCTGTTGATGAGCAATAAACTACCTTATTCTCAATCAAAACCACTATGCAAATGTAGTGGTAAAACTGCTCAACCGACCGAGAGCAGCGATTGTTTTAATTAATTCAGTGCTTTTTTTTGTTTTGTTTTTTTTAAACAACAGCCAATTCAATAATCCGTTAGTTTATTAAACACAGTGTGAACGTAATATTCTGCCACGACCCTTCCCATTTAATAGCTCAATTTAGTTCTTGAGCTTATGGTGTGATTAACAGAAAATACAAGTCTGTGTTCTTAAACATTACTCGTGTGCCATTCACCACAGGGGGGAAGGGAATTCGCCCTCCCTCCTGCAGGCCTGAGCAGACACCCGAAAACGGATTGGTCTGATTTAAACCCGTTGAAATCTCCAGAATTCGGCAATTTGTTTCAATTACAAATCCTCACATTGCTTTTTTTTTTTAAACAGAGGTTCCACCTTGCTGATGCTTTCCTTAAGGTCTCTCCGAATATTTGCAGTGTGTGATTGTCCAGTAATTTAATTCTAGAAACCACACACAGCGGAAATCGTTAAAAGTCGATGTTCCGAGGTTATTTATTAGCCCCAAATATTCTTATTGTTTATACATGAGCTGTGCTTGCTTTTGTTGGCACTTGCCCCAGCAGCATTCACAGGAAGAACCGGCCAGGATAAAATCCCCTTTTGACACCGATTCCTCAGGTTATGATTAAGCCTTCAGATGTACATAGTGGAGAGACCAAAACAAATTGCACTCGCGCAGTTTCACAGATAATTTTGATACCGTCAATCACAGAGTCTGGTAAGGCAGTTGTTCAAATAGATTTGAAAAAAAGCACTTACCAGCCTTCTGAAGAAATCTCGGTATCCTGTTCGATAGACGCCAAAATGTGAAGGTAAACTTCTGTTGTTGCAATGTTGAGGTAGAATGAAGGAGTCTGGAACCGTTGTTAGCCAAAAGCACCGAGAGTTTATTGATCACAGTACATTAATTACATACGGCCGGGGAGATCACTTAGTTGCACACCGTCCCGTGTTTCACCAGCGATCTCTCTGAACCAAAAGACACAAAACATCTAACCAACACGAGGAGAGGCAGGCTTCCAGAAAGCCCGCGTATAATCAATAGCCGATGCGAGACAATGGTCCGCTTGTCTCAAAGAGATGCCGCCAGGTCAACCCTCCCCCACGGACATAGGAGAAGCGTTTGACCTGTGACCTCAACCTACAGAGGAGTCTTTGAGTGACTACAAGCAGATGTTTGCAGTATCACAGACTCTAAGGAACCATAAAAGACTCTATAAACAGATCAGATGAAAATATTCTCTTACAGGGACTAGTGGTAGTCCCAGGCCAGCAATGTTCGTGGCACCTGTCGCTGAGCAGGTGACTGGGTGTTTAGACGGTGAGTTGAAACCACAGGGGTCTAGCCCAGAACTACAGTCTTATTTGCCTTTCATGACTGAAGGTTTTGTTTCTCTGGTGGCGAACGATGAGAAGGTGCGGGTGAAAATATTACGAGACACTGGATCATTTGATTCGTTCATTTTAGCGTCTGCTTTGCCGTTTTCAGAGGACACGTACATGGGGTTGTTTGTTCCGGTGCTGGGAATGGGGTTGAATGTTATGCAAGCCATAAGATGATGCTGTTTTCGGATCTGTTTCAGGGTGAAGTAGCGGTTGGCGTGCGGCCGGCTCTGCCCATAAAAGGGGTCACGATGATCCTGGGTAACGACATTGCGGGTAGTCGGGTGTGGGCTGATGGGGCACCGCCTGCTATCGTGCCGCCAGTGCCGCTGGTTAGTATTAAGCCAGACAAGAGCGAAACGGAGTACCCTGACGTGTTTACAGCATGCGCCTTGACACGGGCTATGAGACGTGAGCAGGCGGGGAACATGAGCTTAGCTGAAATCAATGAGGCCTCACCGCAGCATGAGGTGACGTGTCTCGAGATTCCCTGGTCGGTTTCTCACGGTGAGCTGGTGGAGGCACAGTGTGCTGATGCGTCTCTAAAAGGTCTGAGGGAGGGTGTTCTTCCTGGTGTGGGGGTGAAGGGTCGTGCTCACGCGTGGTCGCTTCGGGAGAATGTTCGGATGGGATACTGGGTACCTCAGTGGGAGCATTTTGCTGGTGAACCTCTTTACCAAGGTGGAGTACATTCCAGGTTCCGTGACATGGCGAAAAAAAAACAAGAAAAAAATAAAACACGTAACACACTAGTTAGCTGAACTAGTCGTGGATTAGTAGCTCAATGCTGTGTTAGGGTGTTTAGGTAGCCGATCCCTTCCAGTGTTTGTCAGTGTCTTTCTTCTCATTTGTGTAGGTGACATAAGAGTGTTTGATTTGGGGTGCCAGGGTTCCGATGGGGACCCTGACTTTATGGGGGGGGCTGTGACGGCCCCAGAGCCTGGGGCCTGTGAGTGTGTGTGAATGTTGCAGGTCCTGCGATGGGGTGGAGCTGAAGAAGCCAATCAGCGTGATCGGGGACACCTGGCCGGAGGTGGGGCGGCCCTGACTCTCTCCAAGCCTGCTGCGGAGGAACTGACCGTGATCCTTTCCCCTCGTCCACTCTCTGCGGTTTTTTGGTGTTTCCGAATAAAGTGCGGAGATTGTTGGAAACTTTGAGCGTCTCTCCTGGTTTTTCTGTTGTGGCCAACGAGCCGGTCATAACAGTCTGCAAATACTTACTGCAGATACCTTAATACACAAATCAATATTAACAACATTTAACTTCCATTAGAAAGGTAAGTAAATAACATTAACACAGATTATATGCACAATGCAAATGTCCCATTTTCTTTGTATGGCACTTTAAAGTCTCTTTGTTGCACCTAAATTTACACTAAAGCACCTGGACCTTCCAGAAGTAGTTGGATCTTGTGCTGCTGTGTAGATGGCTGCTACAGATGCACACGCTGTGACGGAGATGTCCCGTGCCGTCCATGGATCGCTGCCGTCTGGCGCCGTTTTACTCGTCTACTCATGCGGAGCAGTCGAGTTCTCACTGTAGCTCCCTCCAGTAAATGACACGAGGCTGAGGTCTTGATTAAATACGGGGTTTATTCTTGTGGGACCTATTCCAACCCGTGAGAACTGGGTTATAAGACAGAACAATATAAAAGGTAAACAACAAATAAATATGTAATATATGCATATGTCATCACTGTTAATGCCGCCAATTAAACAATAAACGGCGCACATATCCCACACAGCAAGTAGCACAAGCTAACAATAGCATGTAGCACAAGCTAGCGCATAGCATACATACATACACAAACCTGCAGCTCAACCGCACACAATTACACAAATAACCAGCACGAAAACGTACCTCGTAGGCTGCTAGTCACCTAGAGGGGCTGATAACTTTATATGCATTTTCCCTTGGTTTCCTTAGTTTTCATTTAACGTCCTGCGTTGCTCTGCCGTTGCAACTATCCAGTGCGTCGATTAAACAGGTGTAACACAAAACACAGCAGATTAGTTCCGCCTCTAATAATGTTGCACATAAAAGGTAGGAACCAAAAATACAACGTGGAAACAAATGAACAACAGAAAGTGAAGACAGTTACATTAACATTTGAATAGCACTTAATGACTGACTGAATGGAAATGACAATAAATGAAAATGTAAAACGAAAAAAGCGATCATGAAAATGTTTCCAACAAATGAATAAAATGATTTTTGACCACTTTGCTGTTCAGATATATCACATATTTGTAACTAAATGATACATGAATTGAAACAAAACACAAAAACTGAGGAGTGACTCGTGAGTTTCATTTATTTTCTTCACTCCGCTGGGGTACTGCTCTCATGTCAACAAGCATGAGATCAGTGCATGCACTGCATCGTCCAATCAGTGAGCGATACACAGTAAGGGGGCGGGGCGAGTATCTGAGGATTTCATCGGAGGATGGACTGGTGGTTCCTCGATTATCGCTCCTCCATTATCGCTCCCCGCTCCTCAATCCTCCGGCAGAAATAAGAGCCATGGGACGGTACTCAAGATGGCGCAGACAAATCAACTTCCGGTGAGACCGAGGACCGAGGAGCGAGGAAATTAAAATAGGGTCCTTCTCACTTCGGTTAAATGGATTCCTTGCGTTACTCACTTGCGTCGTTTCCCTGCGTCTAGTCCCTCCCACCAGGGAAGCATGGAGGGACGCAAGGAAACCACGAGAAGCAGGGAAATTAGTTTTAAGAGCAATGGGACGTCCTTTCCTCCGGAGCGTCACGTGAAGCGACGTCCGTTTGTGATGACGCCGCACAGCTGATCGTCTGACAGCAGCTCTGTTCCCGTTATTTTCACAAACACCCCCGCCTCTGTTAGTACACATTTACTGACACAAACATTTGTATCATCTGTTGTAGACCCAAATAAATAAAATAAAATAAGAACTAATTCTCAAAAAAGATAAACGCCATTCTTAAAATGTATAAACGAACATTGATTAGAGTGCACAATAGAAATAAAATAATTTAGAGAAGAAAAAGATATAGGCCTATGTTATCTATCAAAACCCAGTTAGATTAACATTCATTGGATTGCACACTTTGTGTGTTTGTGTGGATATGTAGCAAATTCACATTTTAAATAGCACTTAATGACTGATTGAATGGAAATGACAATAAATGAAAATGTAAAACGAAAAAAGCGATTATGAAAATGTTTCCAAAAAATGAATAAAATGATTTTTGACCACTTTGTTGTTCAGATATATCACATATTTGTAACTAAATGATACATGAATTGAAACAAAACACGGTATAAACTGAGGAGTGACTCCCGTGAGGTTCATGTATTTTCTTCACTCTGCTCTCATGTCAAGAAGCATCAGATCAGTGCATGCGCTGCATCGTCCAATCAGTGAGCGATACACAGTAAGGGGCTGGGCGAGTGTCTGAGGATTTCATGAGAGGATGGTCTGATGGTTCCTCGGTTATCGCTCCTCCATTATCGCTCCTCGCTCCTAAAATAAGGCCATTGGGACGCTACTCAAGATGGCGCAGACAAATCAACTTCCGGTGAGACCGAGACCGAGGAGCGAGGAAATGAAAAATAAGAGAAGTGAGAAGGGCCCATAGTCGACTTGAGACAGGGCCTATGCCGCGAGAGAAGTAACATGACACTCTCGTCGCCACCCCTCTCGTCTGAGAAGCTCCGTGACGTCTGCGTCTGAAGTTACTTTACTTTGGTAGTTATCACCAAATAACCCAGTAATGTTACAGCTACTTAGTTGCTGTTCGAGCTAGACTCTATTTCAATATAGTTTTGGTATTCAAATAATGTTACACCCCTTCTATGCCCTGAACGCAAAAACAACCACAGACAAGAATATATTTTTAATCATCAAAATGATAACAAAGGCTGAAAAAACAGGAGAAGCCTGTCTTCCCTTGGTCTCCAGGAGAAATTGCCACTGTATATCACCAAGTTTTCATAGTTTTGTGTGTGAAATAGATCGCTGCAGTGAACACGACTTTCTGTATTTGTTTATGGTTTATTTGATATGGAGGGATGCAGTATAGCCTACATAGAAGTTCAGAGAAGCAACTGAGGTTACCTACTGTAACCCAGCTTCTATGAGTAAATGGCGCAGCCCTCTAAGGCTATCGCTATTGGGTTATCCCTCTGCGCCCCCGCGCAGCACTGAAACACTAGTCCACGCCCACCCGCCAGGTGGGCCCCACCATCGGGCCTCCTTCCGGTATAAATAGGAAGGGTGCCCGGCAATCTGCTCCATACAATATAACTTTTCTTCAGCTATTCGTAGAGCCAGTGGGGCCCAGCGCTTAGAGGGCTGCGCCATTTACTCATAGAAGCTGGGTTACAGTAGGTAACCTCAGTTATATTTCGTATATGGCTTCGCCCTCTAAGGCTATCGCTATTGGGTTAAGGGCGAAGCATGATGTAGTCTGCGCCCCACTGGGTCCGCCCGGCACTAGAAGCACAGACATACCTGCTTAATAACACCCCCCTGCCTGTTGTGCCATGCGTAATGGCGCATCACCGTCCCTGGAACATAGCAAAACATGCCTATCTTCCCGACGGGATGAAGGCTGGGAACAATACATACCGACCGCTGTGAGAAAGTAGAGACGAAGGTCCCACCTTGTCCTGCGATCATAGAGGGGGAACAGCCGCTCTCTCCGTGTCAGCCAGGTAGGAGAGCGCTCAGCTGGATCCCTGACGTCACTCACTCTGACCGGCACTCCGTACGAAGTGTGTCAGAGTATAGGGGAACATCCCTCTCCTACGAGGGGAAAAAAGGGCCGCTCTCTGTGTGCCGCGAGGCAGGAGAGAGGCGCACAGCTGGATCCCTGACGTCACTCACTCTGACAGGACACCCAGTACAGGGTGCGTCAGAGAGGAAAGGGAGACATCCCTCAAATAAAATTGAATAAATGAACAGGGGGAAGACCAAGATGCAGCCGTGCAAATATCTTCCACTGACATTCCTCCACGGCGTTGCGTGGAGGAGGAAATTCCTCTGGTGGAGTGTGCTTTGATATTCTCCGGGGGCTCCCCCCAGAGGAAACATATGCCTGTGACACAGCCTCACACAGCCAGTGTGACAGCCGTTGTGTAGACAGAGGTTGCCCGATCGAGCGCTCTCTGTAATGCACAAACAGGCGCTGAGAACGGCGCAATGCCGCCGTGCGCGCCACATAGCAGGACAGAGCGCGCACCGGACAGAGAAGATGAGATGTGGCTTCTTCCTCCGACCTGTAAGGAGGGGGGAAGAAGCCAGCCAGGTGATCACTCTTGACCTAAAAGAGTTGTGATGACCTTAGGCATGAAGCCGGGTTAGGGCGTAAAACAGCTGAACTGCATCTCCTTGGATCCGGAGACATGACGGAGCCACAGGGAGAGCAGACAAATCACTCACCCTTTTCTCTGATAGAGCCAAAAGCAGTACTGCTTTGGCTGAATACAGTTAAGGGGAACCTGATCAGGTTCAAATGGGGCTTTGCTTTAGTGCGCGTAACACCAAAGCCAAATCCCACTCAGGCGCCAGTGTGCGTGACACCGGTCTGAGTCTCCATACTCCTCGCATACAACGGCTGCTGCATTCTGCGAGCCCCTCGGTTAAATTCGCCGGGAATACACATTGCTCTGATGGAGAGCAACGTGTGTGCGCGCCCAGAACAGCAGCCGCCTGGCTGCGTTCAGAAGCTGCGCAGATCGTACTCCTCCCTGGCGATTGAGGTAGGCTGCTTCCATAGCCGTGGCCTGTTGTCTGTGCAAATCAACACATGTTTGATTGTACAGCAACGGGTTCTTTTCCGAGATTTAGAAAAATAGTGGGAGTAAACCGCGCAAGACACTGTTCCTGGGATAATGGGAATGTTTCTTGTATCCCATGGAACTGCTGGGGGGAGAGGCTTCTCTGTGATGTGCCGTAATGGTCGTCATGCACTGTTAAAAATGATTTGTTGACTCAACTTGACTAAGTCAAGTCATCTTGTTGCTTTGACTGAGTTAAGTTGTGTCAAGTTGATTCAACATTTATTGTCAAGTCTATTACACTTCAATAAATTAGTTGATACAACTTGTAGTCTGTTGACTCAACTTCATGTGTCAAGTTATTTGGACTAGAAAATATTAGTTAAGATAACTTAAGAAGATGTTGGTTAATCTTATTTGATTGAGTTCTTAAAAATGTGTTAATCAAGTTGGCTCAACATGTACAACTGTGTTTGTTCAACTTCTAGTACCAAGTTAACTTACCAGGACAAGCAAACTAATAGCTACAAAGTTATACTATACATCAACATGAGAACTAGCTTAGTCTAAACTATATTAACACATGAAAAAATAGCTGAAAAGACATTTCAATCAGGACTGTTATTACAATATCAATAACTGAAGAAATGAAGAACTCCAACCCACACACTCATTAACTGTTCAGTGTTGCTTTTTAATTCAAATAAGTGTGTCAATGGATGTCAACATATCATTCCTTGGGACATGCAGACCAAACAAAAAACACCCTCTAACACACCATTGTTTTTGCTCTGGGCTGCTCAAAAACTGAAATGACACTGTCCCACAGATACAACTGTAATTGAGTGACTTGTTAAACAGAGTCCATTCTGAGGAGTAAGTGTTCAGGGTTGCTGCAGTAAAATGCATAGAAAATTGTATCTCTCTTAACTTAACTGTCAGTCAGAAAATTAAAACATTAAAACAGTACTGAAATATCCACTCTGTTCATGATTGCTGTACAACATAAAATACACACTAAGTCTCTCAGACACTTCCTCAAAATAGAGCAATAGAAAATGAAAATAAACTGGTGTGACCCACAGAGGGGCTATACATTTATTTTCCTCTTAGAACAGTGGACAAATGACAAAAAATGAAAATGCATCCTTTGGAACAGATGCAGAGACATCTTACTAGGCCGTTTCTCTAACTGAGCAATATATTCTTTAGAGAGTGGACCCTGGGAGTGCACGAGTCCAACCCAATTCCCATGAACAGGCGCTGAATCACCTCAAAGGTGTATTTCAAGTCTTTTGGATAGTCAAGGTTCAGCATGTACTGCA